TGAAGAAATAGATAGTGTGTTGTTGGATAATGCTCCATTGAATGCGAAGTACATATCGCCTGAGATTCAGAAGCAAATTCTGCATGTCTTGGCTAAGAAGGTAAGGACCCCATATCTTTGAAGAAGTGGGAGATTCTAAATTTTCAATAATTGTGGATGAGGCAAGTGACGAAAGCAATCATGAACAAATGGCGATTGTTCTACGCTTCCTTGATGCTAAAGGGTTTATACAAGAGCGCTTCTTTGATATTATTCATATGGAAGATACAACATCAAAGACTTTGTATTCTGCAATCCGCTTAGCTCTTTCTTTCTATAAGTTCCCAATTCAAAATCTTCATGGACAAGGATATGATGGTGCTAGTAACATGCGTGGTGAGTGGAATGGATTGCAGACATTATTTTTGAAGGACTCTCCTCAAGCATATTATGTACACTATATGGCTCATCATCTTCAGTTATCATTAGTTGCAGCTGCTAGAGATGTATTTTGGGTTTATGAGTTTTTCACACACTTGTCAAGCATCGTAACTGCTATTACTGGATCTTGTAAGCGCCAAGATCAGTTAGAAGCTGCAGAAGCATCCAAAATTTCACTTCAGCTAGCGACAGGTAAAATTGAGACAAGAAAAGGTGCTAATCAGGTTAGTACTCTACAACGACCTACTGATACTCGTTGGAGTTCACATTTGCGATTTATATCTAATCTTATCAGGTTGTATGGTTCAACTTGCAAAGTTTTAGAGAACATAATGAATGACGGAAGTAGCTCCAAAACTAAATGGGATGCTACTACAGCTTTATAAAGAATGAAGTCTTTTGATTTTGTGTTCAATTTGTTGATGATGAAGAAAATATTGGGCACCACTGATATACTTTGTGTGGCTTTGCAACAGAAGTCACAAGACATCCTCTATGCAATTAGATTGGTGGAATCTACAAAAAAAACTCTTGAGCGAAGTTAGGGAGAAAGAGTGGGATTCTTTGTTGGCTGATGTCATTGCATTTTGCAAGAAACATGATATTGAGGCTCCTGATCTTAGTGCTCCATTTTTCAGAGGTCGGTCCATTCGAAAGCGAGATGTTACAAATGAACATCATTACCATTATGATGTATTCAATGCTGCAATTGATGTTCAAATCGCAGAACTAGAGTCAAGGTTTAATGACAGAGTTGTGGAGCTACTGAAGTTGAGCTCAAGTTTGGTTCCTAAAGATGGGTATAAGACGTTCGACGTTACTGCTATCTGTAAGCTTGCAAAGGAGTATTATCCTCTTGATTTTTCAGAAGAGGAAATGGATACATTAGAGTTCCAGTTGGGGCTTTTCCGATTTGAAATTCCTAATCATTCTTCTTTACAGAAGCTATCGTCTATTCTGAGTTATGTCAGGGTTTAACAGAGACAGGACTATCAAATGACTTCTATCTTGTTGATGGGCTGATTCGTCTTCTCCTGACTCTTCCAGTTTCCACTGCTACAGGTAAACGTGCATTTTTGGCTATGAAGATAGTGAAGAATAGACTGCGAAACAAGATGAATGATGAATTTATTGCTGATAGTTTAGTTATTTATATTGAAAGAGTGATAGCTAAAAGTTTTAGTTTAGATGCTATTTTGAGTGATTTCAATGATCTCAAAGAACGTCGTGTACTTCTAAAATAATTATAAAATATTATGTTAGTTTTTTATTTAATTATTTTCGGCCGCCCGATCTCGAAATCCTGGCTTCACCCCTGATGCTAAGGACACTCATCATAGTCTTGACAAATTCGCCGACAGGGGGAGAGCTGGCGTTTTTATTGGGTATCCCGGTACACAGAAGGGATATCGTGTTTACGGTTTGCAGACGAGGAAGATTACTGTCTCTCGCACCACCGGCTCCAAAGCTACCATTCCCAAGCTACCATTCCCCATATGCCTGGACCAGAACATGCACTGAAAACAACAAAGAGACCCCATGTGGTTTTGACAGTTTGCCAGTTAATTCAGAAGCGCCTGGTTTACGTACTCTTGCCACATTTCATCATTAGTACCAACATCAACAAATATGAACTAAAAGAGCAGAATAAATGAACTGCATAGAATAGTTTTTTTCTTGTACGTTATCAAGCACAAGCGGAAAGAACATGGTGTTGAAAGAACACGGATCTAGGTGTGAGATTTATAGGGCTCACAATTACCAGAGAATTAGGAATTTAGGTGAGAAAGGAAAGGGAATTTGGGATGAGGAAGAAGTAAAAGTTAGTTCCGGAGAATAGGGTTGAGGGTAAGAGAATTTTCGGCTAACACATAATATATAATCTTACTAATTCTCTACACCTACCGGAATAATTAACATGGCCCAATAAATCCACAGAGTTCCCAAAATACCAACATAACATTCAAACATCTCGAATACCAAATAACGACAAATGGATCCCAAAATAATCGGTCTATGACAGGTGTTTATACAAAAGATATGTAGCTCCTCCCTCAACATGATGTTCTGTAACCATCTAAGTAGCTAAAGGATTGGTATTGCTCATTATCAGTGAGAGTAGACATTTACCTTTGTAGCTAGACCTTTTACTGGCCGCTGCACATCTGATCATATAAACCCCCGAGGTTGAGTACTCTATATTGATCACCATCATCATCTTCTTCCTCTTCATATGTCACTACTCTATCATCGTACACCGGAATAACCCGACAATTCTTGATCAAGATGGATGTTTCGAGGCCCTCCTCTTGGCCACAGTATCTACCCTGAAAAGAGAACTCAACGGTAGCACCATCTGCATCGACAGCTTTTTCAGCCACATGTTGTACCGCTTCCACCATATCGGAGTACCTGTAAGCGGACCACAGGAAAAGGTGATGACCGTTTGAGAGATTCTCCTCTTCCTCGTCCTCTTCCTCGGCTTCATATTTTCGTTCAGGTAGCCAGTAGATAGTGTTCCTTTTCATTTTGGCGCTAACGTCGTTGTCATCACTGTTGAGCAAGCACTCAAGATACGAGGTCTCTAGGTTTTCAAAGAGTGGGGTCTCAATTAGGACGCAAAAGATTATGGACAGTAACTTCCATGGCTGTCCACGCAGCTTCGCTGTCGCAATTGAATTGTTACCAACGTTATTATTATGAGATCCAATTATGCTTCCTACTTCACTGTTGCTAGTATCGGCTACCCTTTTTGCCGGTACTAAAAGCACAGTTGATTTGGGGCATCGAACCAGATCCTCGGTGAACTGCATCATATAGTATAAACCAGAAACATGAGTAAAAATTTAGGTACATTTGAAGAATTTTGACCCTTAAGATATATTAAAATTCGTTGACACGTCTATTGATTACTAAAGTAGTGGCGACCGAGCTACCGGTAAAGGGTTACTGGCTGATAGTGATTTCTAAGAATTAAATCATAAGCGCCACGTACGTAACACTTTCGTATTGACTTAATACGTATCGTAATACGAGGTAAACATTCATTACTTAAAAGGACCGTCCGTTACATAAGATTTTTGTAATGACACTTTACAATCGTTACGTAAGATAAGCATACGTCACGTTATCATTATTTAGTATAGTTAGTAAAATACGGTGCGGGAAAGTTATGTAAAAAATACGTACGGGTATTTTACGTCGTCTATAAGCTAAAGTTACGTTTAATAGTACGTTAATAGTAATAAATATATAAAAATTAATTATTTTAAAAATAAATAAATATATAAATAGTAGTAAAGTTCACAATTTAATTCATTAAATACGGATATTAAACGTGTTATACGGGTTTTATACGTGTTTAGTGCGGGAGCCATTCAATGAACGAAAGAAACGGCTTAAAAATAATACGGATAGGGAAGTTTTAAACGGATAAATTACGTACGGGTACAGATATGTGTATTAAACGGAGTATATACTAACTATGTGTTAACCTATCATATTTTACTTGAAGCCACATGTAAAACCTGCTAAAATAGGTTAAGAAAATTCACGTTACCATACTTCAAAACATTGTAGGAAATCCAAAAATTAATGACCACCATGATAGTTGCTAGTCTCGTCATTAAAGATAGATAGATATATATATATAGAGAGAGAGAGGAAGAGCTAGAGATGGCATACCTTATCCACAATCTTACTGCATACTCCTGGATCCAACTTCCAGCACCAGCCAAAGCACCAGCGAGTGAATTCCGAGACCGACAATGTCAATTGTACCTGAGCAACAATGTCCTTTGACAAGGTTCGAAGCGACTTGCAGCCATGTGCATCCAGTTCTTTCAAGGATGATGGAAGCAGTGGTAAATGCCCCAGTTGGTTGCAAAGATTTACTAAATTCATGAGAGTACCAATGCTGTCAGGAAGGCGGGACAACTTGCTGCATCTTTCTAGCGTAATCCTTTCCAGAGAATTCAACTTTGAGAAGTCACAAGAGAGGAGAATAAGTTGCTCGTTTTGCGAAAGGTTGAGGTACTTCAACTTTGTCAGCTTGTCCAACTCAACGACCTCTTCAATCAAGCTATTAGTCAAGTCTAATCTTTCCAGGCTTGGGATGACTACAAATTCAGTCAGTTCTGTGCAGGCAGCGCAATCTAGTGCCCGAATCGGCAAGTCGGTAGCAAAACTAGCAACCATTTGGATACGAGTTTGGGTTAGAATAAAATATTTCAGGCTACGTAAAATTCAGAAGGACGATTACTCAGTTCTCTGATGCCGTTTAAATAATCTTCCAAGTTCTCCCACTTTAGGCTGCTGCACTCACTCAAATCCAGGGTTTCCAACTTGGGAAGGTCCAAAACTGAAGTGGGAAGCTCCAGTAAGCTCTCGCATAGACAAAGATGAATACCCTCTAGCCTTTTTGCTGTAGAGAGATCGGGCAGGTTTCTTAGGTTCTTGGATCCCTCAAGATTAAGGGTTTTTAAATTCCCCAGATCCTGCAATTGTATGTGTATATAATCAGTGGGAGGGGGGGATAAGTTTAATATTTTTTTCTTCAAAAAATACACCATATAAATGAGTTAAGAAACAAGTACATAACGTACCACGTTAAGTTCATCACCTTCCCAAAGCTGTTCAATCTTGCTGTGTGTCAAACTAAGCGTGACAAGATTTTCAGCAGAGAATTTGGATGGCAAAAATTTAGAAGGAAATGAGTCCCATTCAAGAATTCTCAGCATAGTTGGCAGAGAATTCAACCCATCCTCCGGCAAAATGAAATTGCAAGTACTACTGCCAAGCACGAGGAATCGAAGATTTTCCATCTCCTCAAAAGCATCAGCTTGTACGGCGGCTATGTCAGGTCTTCTTATGGGACGAGGTCGCCAGTCATCATTTAAGACGATTCCTATAGTTCGTTGAGCATCCTGTGTAGTGCAAGATAACAAATTAAATTTCGTAACTCGACTAAACGTTGGTGGTATGTTCAAAACGAAATCTTCAAATTAGAAAGAAATCAAATGAACTGTCTTCTAAGCTCTGAAGAATTGAGTGTGCTTTATAGCACCCATGCTATAAAAAAAAGGTTATCTATTAGGATGGTAAATCCACTAAGTGACTGGTCCCACATCATTAATGGCAATCTTATAAATAATGAATCAATCTATGAAAGTGTAGGTACAAATTACAGTTGTACCATACATGTAGGTACAAGTTTGAGTTGTACGATTGAAGAATTTGTTTCACAAAGTGTACGTATAACTGAAAATTGTACATAGCGTGTATGTGCACTTTTAGGTTAAACTATAGAGAGATTTTTTTGAAAGTGTAGGTACAACTTTATGTTGTACCACAGCGTTTAGGTACAAGGTTGGGTTGTACCATTGAGGTGTTTTTTGGAAAGTGTAGGTACAACTTCGTACCATAGGTATAGGTAGAAGTTTGGGTTGTACCATGGAGGGATGTGTTCGAAAGTGTAGGTACAACTTAAAGTTGTATCATAACGTATAGGTACAACTTAGAGTTGTACCATAGCGGGATTTGTTCGAAACTGTAGGTACAACTCAAGAAAGTGTAGGTACAACTTACACTTGTACCATAACGTATAGGTACAAGTTTTGGTTATACCATAGAAGGATTTATTAGAAAGTGTAGTTACAACTTAAAGTTGTACGATAAAGTATAGGTACAATTTTGAATTGTACCATAGAGGGATTTTCGGGAAAGTGTAGGTACAACTTAAAATTGTACCCTAGTATAGGTACAAGTTTGGGTTGTACCATATAAGGATTTGTTTGAAAGTGTAGGTACAACTTAAAGTTGTACCATAAAGTATAGGTACTGTTTTGAGTTGTACCATAGAGGGATTTGTTAGAAAGTGTAGGTACAACTTAAACTTGTACCATCGTATAGGTACAACTTTGGGTTGTACCATAGAGGGATTTGTTAGAAAGTGTAGGTACAACTTAAAGTTTTACCATAAAGTATAGATACAGTTTTGAGTTGTACCATAGAGGAATTTGTTAGAAAGTGTAGGTACAACTTGAACTTGTACCACGGTATAGGTACAACTTTGGGTTGTACCATAGAGGGATTTGTTAGAAAGTGTAGGTACAGCTTAAACTTGTACCATAAAGTATAGGTACAGTTTTGAGTTGTACCATAGAGAGATTTGTTAGAAAGTGTAGATACAACTTAAAGTTGTACAATCGTATAGGTACAAGTTTAGGGTGTACCATAGAGGGATTTTTGGGAAAGTGTATGTACAACTTTAAGTTGTACCAGTGTATAGGTACAACTGTTGAAAGTGTAGGTACATCTTAAACATGTACCATAACGTATAGGTATAAGTTTTGGTTATACTATAGAAGGATTTGTTGGAAAGTATAGGTACAACTTAAACTTGTTCCATAACGTATAGGTACAAATTTAAGTTCTACCATAGAGGAATTTGTTAAAAAGTGTAGGTACAATTTCAGCATGTACCATAACGTTTATGTACAATTTTGGGTTGTACTACAGAGGGATTTGTTGGAAAATGTAGGTACAACTTATAGTTGTATCATAGCATATATGTACAAGCTCGGGATGTACATTCGGACTTGTGGTACAACTTGGAGTAGTAATGGTACAAGCCAAAGAAACTTTAAATAATTGCTGTGTTTATGGATGATACATCATATAGAGAACTTGAGATTTTGCCTCCATAAAATTAAACTAGTTTTATAGTATTTAAATTAGTAGTAATCAAAAAAATTTAAATTAATTGAAAAAAATATTGACCATCTCTAATTTTGATTGTTTGTTGGTCAATGAGAAAATCTCTAATTTTTCATGCAACTTGAAATTTTAGTTCCATACATATTTAACACCCATGCATATAGGACACTGGGTCGTTTGGATAGATCATTTACAAAATGAGGCAATTTGGTATAAATGTCACATTTTACAAAATGAGACAATTGTATAGTATATTTGTCCCAAATTGCCTTGTTTGGCTTGTTATTTGAGATGAGGCAATTGAGATGTGACTATTACTGAAAATACACTTTTGTCCTTGTTTTAATACCCTCATTCTCCATCTTCCTCTTTTAGAACAAGCCAAGGTAAAATACTTCACAGAACACATGTTGAGAAACAGAGCATCGAAAATAAACTCCAAAGCCCAGGTATAATGCTCCCCAACCAAGCAATCGAATTCCCCTGGATGAAAGCTTGACTAATTTGAAGGAGCCATTATTAAAAAACAAAACAAAATCGAGACAAAAAATGGGGTTTCTATCTAAAAATTTCTACAAAAAATGGCCCAGGATTTCTCTCCGCTGATCCAGATCTACAAAGACGCTTGTGTCGAGCGACTACTGTGAACCGCCACCAACATATATATCTCTCTCTCTAATCTGGTCGCCGACGATCGAACCTTCTCCGGACCTTTCTTCCACGTCCCGCGACAATAGATTTTGCACTTTGACTCCTGTTACTGCTCTTGTGGTCTCTAGGCTCTAGCCATCTGGAACGATTTTATACCCAAAACCAGTTGGGGGAGGAAGAGGGAGGCATGGGGGAGAGAGAGAGAGAGAGAGGAAGAGGAAGAAAAGAAGAGAATAGATGTCTCGGTGGTTTCTACTTTCTACAGTGAGAGAGGGGAAAGAAAATGAAAAAGGAAAAAAGAAGGGGCGGCTTTGGAAAAAGTGAACATAAAATGAAGCAATTGAGAAAACCTCCCCATACCCAGGTATTTTCAATTGTCTCATAATGGAGCAATCTACAATTCTCCATGTACAATTGATTCATTCTTTTTTTCGGTAGCCAAATGAGACAATGTGTTCCAATTGTCTCATTTTGAAACATTTGTGTCAAATTGCTCCATAAGAAAGATCCATCCAAACGAAAGAACAAGAAAAAAAAAGAGTACTCTCCGTTATCACTTGAAATCAGCGATTAATTGGTTATGGCCGTATGGGGCCGGGGCAGGGGCCATGGGAAAGTCGAAGTGCAACTAGTTACAAGTACAAAAAATAAATAAAATATTAATAAATTGAATCAGATCCGATGGCTGATATTTCGTAATAAGATCTAATGGCTATAAACATATTAAAGCATCAATACTATATAGCATACTAAAATCTCTCCTGAAGAATTTTGGTTCCTTTTTAGCTATAGCTGGTCAAGGCTTTTTAGGAACTATTCCAAGACTTTCTAGAGTGTGTTCTGTCGATTCTTAACATTTTACATATTTAAAGTTCAACGAGCTAGATGAATTTTATTTACAATTCAGTTAATTTGATTAGTTTATTTTTTGGATCGTACACCGTGACATGACGATCATATTACTATATAGTTGGATTTTGTTTAGTATTTGATTTGAATTTGTATCTTTTTTATTTTTTACAACCAATTTATATCTTAATCGGATAGTGTAAAGAGTATAGCAGTTTTTTTTATGAAGGTGAAATTAATTAATGAAGCCAAAAACGTCAAAAGTACATCAAAACTGGAAAAAAGAACCACAAACGAAACTACAAAACTGCGCCAAAAAAAAGAAAATAGGCGGATCAAAAGGCTTGATCCCAAACATGAAAACAAAGAACAGAAAGAAGAGAAAGAAAGCTGCTAGGAGGACCAGGCCTCCTCTACAGCCAAAAGAAGAATATACAACGCCCAGAAGGGCAACCAAACAAAAGGGCTACCCCACAAAAAGAAGCCCCTGCAAATCAAGCAACACCAACAGAAGTGTCACTCCCAACCTGAGACGCTCTGGAAGAACCACCTGGCCCTCGCAGGTGAAGAGCACATGCCCCAGGCCGAAGCCACAGCAGAAGTAACTCACAGCTGCAAAAGAAGGAGAAGAGAGTAGGACCCAAGCCAAAGCGCTTAGAGCCTACTCAAAAACTCCTCTAGGCTCCTCTTACCCTGCTCTTTGTCCACTTTACCACCTGCAACCGGCCACTCCACAACGTCCCTGAGAACTTTCCGAACAACGAACTTGGGTTGAAGACGAGCTTCCCTGAATATCCTGTTGTTTCGTTCAAGCCAAATCTGCCAACACACAACATGCATCACACCATAACGGATCCAGCTCGTCACATTAGCATCACACTCAATGGGCCACCTGGATATAACTTGAGCAATGTCCCTTGCCGTGGACTCGGCCAATCCACAAGCAGTCCTCGTCATATCCCACACCTCCTTACTGAAGTCGCACCGCACAAGTAGATGATCAACCGTCTCCTCTTCCCTGTTGCACAATTCACACCTATTTGCAAGAGACATTCCCCTTTTCTTTAGATTATCAATCGTGAGAATGCTTTTATGAGCCACAAGCCACATAAAGGAGCATATCTTGGTTGGAACAATCGGCCTCCAAACTGAATCAGCAGGGAAGTTAGCGATGCCCTTGAAAGACTCCCCCGCAAGGTACCTGTACATAGATCGAACAGAAAACGAGCACTCCTGGTTTGGAAACCAGACAGGCTAGGGGGCCCACATGACACACGTCCAGAACCACTAGTATTGAGCAAACTCAACATCTCAGATCTCTCCCTCTCAGCCCCCCCCCCCCCCCTCTAAGATTAGAAGATAAAGGAATTTGCCAAGAAAAAAACTCACCTGAGGGGGACAAAGCATCAAGAATCCTGGCATCCGGAGCGCTTGCAGCGGCATCAATTCTTGGGAAAGCATCAGCGAGCACCACCCAGGGATCCAACTGTCATACCACAAAGAAACCCATGCTCCATTACCT